TAGAGGCTGTGTACAGGACACACTGGATTCTGTGTTTATTTGATGACTCTGTCTTTGAAAAGTGGCAGATGTGAAACAGAAGGTGGTATATGAACACCAAATGACAGTGGGCCTTTAAATGGTCGGGACACTTCCTTCCCTAAGAGTTCCGGGCCCATCTGTCTTGTGGCCTGTTGACACAGAGCTCTGCCTCATCTTCCCTCTTTTAACACCTTTGACCAAGGGCAAACCAAGGGCACACGAGGGACTCAGTGCCAGCCTGCTCTGGAGCAATGGCTGTGGGTACTGGAACTAGCAGAGAGGCCGCAGAAGGAGGGGGAAGGGCTCTGGCTTTGTATGGGAGGCAGTGTCGAGGACTGTGCCCGTGAGAAGGGGGATGAAGGGACAGAGTCCCAACATGCACTCATGGCCCTTCCACAGGAGGACTTAGTCCATGGTGTGTGGTGGTTTCTGTGGGCGACCTGCAGGTGTGTGATGTCCAGGAGCCATAGGTCCGGGGGATCCTTCTGAATGTCTGATACAAGTATATAAGGCTAACGCCAGCTATCGCCGGCTCAGTCCTGGGGTCCAGGTCAGTGTGCCACCTCATTCGTCATCAGCACCACAGGCTTCTACTGCTCTACTCAGTGGACCCAGGACCAGCACGGTTAGGGGAGGGATGCAACCATGGGCTCTGGGCCTTCCTTCACTTGCTTAACAAATGTGTGTGTGTGTGTGTGTGTGTGTGTGTGTGTGTGTGTGTGTGTGTGTGTGTGCGTGTGGAGGTCAGAGGACAATTTTGTGGTGTCACAGCAAGTGTCATTCCCTCCTGAGCCTTCTCACTGGCCCCTTCAGAAATGTTTGTTAGTGCTGACAATGGGCCTGCCTCACTCCAGGAGGAATAATTTTAGTGATGAAGACGAATCTCAGTCAACAACAAAATCAGGTCTGCAATGTAATACAGGAGGCTGGAAGACAAGCTGGACAAAAATACAGAGTGCATGGAGTCATGTCGAGGGTGGCCTCTTGGACAGTAGGGCCGAGACCTGCAGAGATTAGGGGCCTGGGAAGCACGTGGAGGGCTCAAGGCGCGAGCCTGCTTGGTGCCTGTGAGGAGCAATGAGAAGGCCTGTGTGCCTGGGGGAGCGGGTAAGGCAGAGGACAGTGGGAGCTGAGGTCAGTGTGGAAACTGAGGCCAAGTGTGGTTGGCCATGGTAAGGACGCTGGCAGTGAGACCCATGGGGGGCTGAGGGGACCACAGTGGGAGGGGCGGCTTGATTTAGTCCTTCAAGGCTGATCTGAGACAAAGTTATTCTGCAATGAAGAGCAGCTCATGTGTGGTGGTTCCAGGGTTTGCTAAGCTTGCTGAAAAGATCTGGGAAAGAGGGCTGGGACAAGGGACCTCAGGCTGCTGGGATGAAGGCACAGCATCCCACATTGTCCCAGACGAGCCTGAGGCCAAATGTGACGCTTGTTTTGTAGACTGCATTGTGACCCACCGGGAGACAGGAGCCAGCCCCTGGGAAGAGGAGCCTGGGCTGAGGAGTCAAGCGGAGAGGAGTGGGAACAGATGAGCAGGACAGAGGGGAGAAAAGGGGCATGTGGACTTGTAGGTCTTTGTTCCCACTGCAACCCTGGCCATGGACAGAACCCCCAGTCACCTGACAGGGGGAGCCTTTCTTTCAAAGACAGGATTCTGGCTGGGACGGCAGCACAGGAAGGGTTAGCTGAGTGACCTGTGAGGTCCCAATAATGAGCAGCTGGCTCCAAAGCAATACAAAAAAAAAAAAAAGCCAGAAGAAAGGGTTTAGTTTTACCCTGGTCGCTCTCTATCTGGATGTCACACGAGGAGGAAGCCCTAAGCAGCTGAGTAGCAAAATCAGGAAGCCAGAGGGTGGGGCATTCAATTCCTCCATTGCTGGGAGGCCAGCCAAGATGTGGGCCCCTCTGCCTGAGCTGGTTCTACTGGGGGGGTCTCTAGCCCCTCTTTCTGCTTCTCCACACTCTCCCACACTCCACACAGTTATCTGATGCCTGAACTGTACAAAATCTCATTTCTCTGGTTCGGTGGCTCTCGATTGGGGGCTCATCGAAATCACTTATGGAGCTTGTCAACAGCGCAGCAGCTGGGCTCCGCTCCAGATCTGCTGAGTTCAGACTTGTCAGCATGTCCCCTGGAGGTCCCCATGCCACCCCTTGTTAAGGAACCAGCTAAGGCTTTGGACCTTTTCACTGCCAGTGCCTGTGCAGGAGTTCCGGAGACCAGTGGACCTGCGCAAGGGATGGTGTGTGGGGGGCAGTGTGTCCTCACAGCCCCAGCTTGCCCTGCGGACACTGAGGGCCACTGCAATGAAGGGGGACGGAGCTGGGGGATCTGAAGCGAGGAACACACTCTCGGTGAAGCTGGAGCTGCCTGCAGCTGGCCTTCATTAGGTGCTTGGTAGGATCTGTGCAATGCTATCCACTCGTGGATGTAACTACACCTCACAGGTGTCAACTATGAAGTCTCCACAACTCCTGTGCCACATGGGACTTGGCCTTGAGGAGGGTTATAGTCTGTCTGGTTTCAAAGCTGAAGTTGGAAGCAATTTCAGTGATGAAGGGAGCCACAGGCAGCTCACTGAAGTCCGTATTGACTTACCCAAAGTGGGTAAAGGTGGTGCTCTTCCCCATGAATGACTTTCAGGTCTGCAGCAGGGCCAAAATGAAATCTTGGTCTCTTCCCAGGTACTGCCCTTTCCTAACCAAAATATGACAACCTGTGCTAAGCCCCCACTGGACATGTGTAGCTTACTCATTGGATATGATCAGGAGTCTGCCACAATCTAGGTCATTTCATGGGACTCCTGGCAGCAACCTGTCCCATCTTCTTGACCATACTAGAGGTACTCAGACAGGCAACACTGACAATTCCAACCATATTGTGAAGCTGAGAGGGACCCTCTGGGCTTCCGTAGAGCATAGGTTGTGGGGCCTAGCCTAGCTATCACTCGGCCAGGAGCCAGAATGGGAGGAGGCAGTGGGCTCTGTTGTTCTCCCTTACCAGACAGGGTATTGGGGCAATGAGGCATTTTTCTTAGCTACCCAGTGAATTCTTTCAACACCCACTCTGGGTCTCATTGGACTAAACTGCCTTGCAGAGCCATAGATCACTCAGCCTCATCTTGTTTGAGGAGTCGAAGTGTTTCCTCTTATGGAGATTAATGGTGCCAATGGCTCAGTCACCGCAGTGGTCAGCAAGCATCTGGCTTCCCAATCAGACCGTTTCCTGTGTAATGGCTCACATTTATTGTCAACTGGAGTCATCATACTGACGGTGCTCAGTGCCATCATCCATCTTGGTCTTGGCTCTGTGGAGTACCTTAGCAGCACATGACATGCCTGCACTCCAGCTGTGATGAGGAAGTCACGCGCTTGGCAGTTCCTGGGACATCATCTTTGCCCCACATTCCCCACACACACTGCCTGTCATCCCTCAGGGAGAACAGATGATCTTTGAGAGGAGAAAGGTGGTACTTTAATACAAACACAAATGTCTGTCTCTGGGAAAATCACAGGCCAGACAGCCCCTCCGGCTCTTCTGTGGGGATAATCTTCCTCTCTTCCACCCTGGGCTGCTGCTGCCCCAAATCACATGCCTGGGATGGTTCTCTTCTCACTCCTCACCATGTTCCTTGAGGAGACAGGCCACAGAGAGGGACAGTGTGCACACGGTCAGTCAGCGACATGAGGAAGACCCTTGGAACACTCCATCCTCAGGAAAGACAGTCTTCATCCGACATCCTTGCTTGAGGTTGGCTCCATGGTCACCCCTGCTCAGCTGGAAGCTCTCTGCCACTCACATCTGTTCACAGACTTTTCTGCACTCACACCTTTCCAAGATTCTCTAATCTATCAGGTGGTGGTGGCACACAACTTTAATCCCAGCACTCAGGAGGCAGAGGCAGACGAATCTCTGTGAGTTCGAGGTCAGCCTGGTCTACAGAGTGAGATCCAGGACAGGCACCAAAACTACACAGAGAAACCCTGTCTCGAAAAAACAAAAAACAAAACCAAAAAAACAAAAACCAAGATTCTCTAATTTATCTATAATTCTCTCTCCAAACACCTCTTTACAATCCTTCATGTCTCCAAGATACTTCTTTCAAAGTACTATATATCTCATAATTCTCCCTCCAGGTGCTGGAGAGATGGCTCAGTGGTTAAGAGCACACACTGCTCTTCCAGATGACCTGAGTTCAGTTCTGAGCTCACAACTGCCTGTAACTCCAGACACCCTCTGCTGGCCTTCCTGGACACTGCACTCATGTACACATAACCTCACACAGACAATACATGCACATAATTAAAAATAACAAAATAAATACTCTCTCCTCCCCTTTCAGATTCATGGACCTATAGTGACTACATGGCTGTATCACAGTGGTTTCCCAGAGGAAATAAGTAAGAACTCGACATCCTGAGAACTGGTTTTCTCTTTTCCAGTGGGACCCAGCCAACATGGCTGCCATGCTGTCAGGACATGCAGGTCTTTGGGCAGGGTGGTTGCCTATGCAAAGGAGTGATTCAGGCATTCTCTCTTACGAAGATCTGAGTGGCACTGAGGTTGGCCAATCCCTTGACGGGCTTTTGGGTGGAAGTTTAAAGGATTTAGGAATTGAGTTGAGGACGCTTTTTTTTTAAAGTGTTTTTTTTTTTTTTTTTAATGCTGAATGCCCTTTATTGAAGGAGGGAGGAGGTCTTAAATACAGGCTACAGCACAATGGGAGAACCCCGGAGGGCAGAAGTTCGCTACAGTTGCTTTACAATCTTGCATCTAAGCTGTTAATGCCCATTGTGCAGGATACACAGACAAGGAACTTCCCTTAAGCATTCAGGAGGTTGAAACCCGGGAAGGAATTAGCATAGGGAGGATATCAAGGTCAAGGTCAGCAAGCAAGGCAACAGTTATCCAAAACGGGGGGGGGGGGGCAGGGCCCTACATGTCCCCCTTTTACTAATAAATGAGCTTCTGACTTAGATTGCATGGGATGTCAGCAGGTCACCTTACCCATCATGGAGACGCCTGCTCAGGCCACACAGGAGCTCTGTCTTAGGTTGGTGAGCACCCCCTAGGCATTACCTGTCTCTGAATACTCATTATCATACAGGCTCAATCGTGTGTGAGCTGCAGAGTTAACTGCTGCCAAAGATCTCAAAGTGGCGCTGGGCTTGCAGTCTGTGTGTTCCACACAGAAAAGACCAACAGAAGTCCTAACCCACCCATAGCCATAACCCACCATACCTATTGGGCCTTCATGAAAAACTCTCCCCTTCTAATGCCAATGGGGATTGAGAGCCTAATATGGCCAACTTTGGCAAGCATTAACATAAGCCTAGGAACTGTAGCCATGTGGTTGGATTATCCAGAATGTAATGTATGGTAACTGCTTTTTCAAGTATGTTTGAGAATGTGTCACCCAGACTCCTTGGAGATTAAGGATAACCCTGAAGGTCACTGAACCTCCATTTGTTAACAGCTGCATGCCAGCTAAGTCTTTTCATTTTCAAAATCCTCTTCAAGCTGGTGTAGTACCTACTTTTCAGGAGTGGCTCTGTGCAACATTTATTGGCCTCCTGAAATTCATTTAGCCCCCTTTGAAGATATCTTAAAATTTATCAGCCTAAATGTAGCCATTATAAAACCATTAGTTATGCTCCTTGTGAGCTGCCAGTTTTTTCTCTATGGTTCTTAGTTGTTCTTTTGCAGAGTTGAGGACTCTTAATGAAGCTGTTTTTTGTTACTTTGGTTTACTTGGCAACCACTTATTGCACCCTGGAGCCACAAATGGGCTCCACGGTGGACCACACTGCAGAACTAGCACATCACCAGGCAGGCAAGAGTTGGCTGAGCAGCCCAGATTCTCATGTAACCTAAGAAAAGGGCCAGAGCAGATGCCCTGGGGAGAAACTTTGAAAACAAAGAACTAGACATTTTCCAAGCTGGGTAGTGGTGGTGCACGCCTTTAATCCCAGCACTCAGGAAGCAGAGGCAGGTGGATCTCTGTTAGTTCGAGACCAGCCTGGTCTACAAAGCAAGTTCCAGGACAGCCAGGGCTGTTACACAGAGAAACCCTGTCTCCCAAAGCCAAACAACAACAAGAAGAAGATATTTTGCTCCAGGCCATGGCGAGGGAAGTGTGTATGGAGATATGTTCTCTTCCCTCAGCAAGTGGGGCTTAAAAGAGAGCAGTGGGAAGCTTGATGGGTAGCCCATGTCCAAGTGTGCCTGAGTGAGAACTGAACTCTAGAGTCATGGCTGATTTCTGTGTGAAAAGAGACCTTGGATTGTGAAAGCTGCTCGATTAAACCACCTCATACATTTAAAAAAATCTTGACTTCAAAATTTAAATCAAAAGATATGTTAATTTGGGGGAGAGGTTCTGTTTTTATTTCCACAGGAAATGAGAGGTTATGGATTCATTCTGGTTTGATCAAGGAAGACCCCTGAAATCGTCTCTACAGACATAAAGAACTAAACCTAAGAATGACAGGACAGAACAAGGGACCAGACCCCAGTAAAAATGGTCAGGTGATCCAACCTCCCAGACAGCGTCCAGGCTCCTGACTGAGATGACCCAGCCGCACAGAATATTCCAGTCAAGACTTAACAATTATTCAGATTTTCTCAGGGTCCCCCAAAGATTACCAGTGCCCAGCAATCAGCAGGAAGTAGTCTAGAAAACTATGCCCACATTCCCAAAATATTGGTTATAAATATTTGGTTTCATTTAAAGGGGGTTGGTTACAAATTGTTATTGGTCATAGTCAATCTCTTTCTAAAAGAAGAAAGGGAGATATGATATAGAAATGATGGGGGAAAAGGGTAGATTATTAAATCTACATTAATCCAAAAAACAACTATTATTCTTAAATATTTTACATTGGTATGGATTTTAGTTTATTGATACAAATTTAAAGTTATTTCTATTATACTGTATGTATGTTTCTACTCTTATTTGGAGTATTATGTTTATGCAGATCAATTAAAAATGTAAAATATAATTAAGAAATACAGATTAATATTCATCTGTAACAGTCAAACATATAGACATGTTTGGTATGTTTTCAAGGTCATACACAGATATATTTAAATTGATAGATGATCTTCAAGCACTTCAAAGACCTACAGAATATGGCATTTAATGTGTTTAATAACCTAAGGCTTTTCATGACAGTGAGAAACATCTGCTCCTGGCAGCACCAATTTATTTCAAAGGAAGATGATGGTCATCAAAGAACCTCCACATGGATTTGCTTTCTTTATGGCAAAAGCTAGCCATTTGGGCAAAAAAACTGCCCTTGCCTCAATTGCTGACAATATACTATCCAAACTGGACCAGCAGGAAACACGAAAAGGCAATTGCCAAACTTTGCCAAGACAAGGTAGGACAGTCCTTCAAAATTCCCTGCTGCACAGGAAAGTCTGTCAGATGTTCTAGGCCTGAAGCCCAGAGTTGGATGCCCCAGTGTTGCAGAGGAACTTTGGGTGACTGTCCAGGAAGCCTGATGTCCCTGTCATTAGGTAACATTTCATCCTTCTGGGGTCTTTGATGGAGTTAACGACTAAATAGCTAAACTTACAGTTTGCCTTAGTTATGATAGAAAACAAATTAGGTAAAAAACTTTAGACTTACCAAGAAAGATAGATAATTGAGTATTTTCTCTAATGTTGCCAAATACAAACTGACTAGATATTATAACTATAATTCTTACTTGATAACTGTTTTTTGTATATAATTTTACTATGTTAAAATTAAAACCTTCCTTTTTTAATTAGACAAAAAGTGGGAAATACTGTGGAATAATCCTTCTGTACACTGTGTGAATATATGTTGCTATGATTGATTTAATAAATAAGCTGACTGGCCAATATCTGAACAGGATAAAGCTAGGCAAGAAAGCCAAACTGAGAATGAGGGGATGAGGAAGGGTGGAGTCCGAGGAAATGCCTGCCAGATGCAGAGGGAGCAGGAGATGAACATGCCATGCTAGTAAAGGTACTGCCACATGGCAGAGCATACACAAGGAATACAGGTTAACTTAACATGTAAGAGCTACTTAGTAACAAGCCTGAGCTATTGGCTGAGCATCTGTAATTAATACAAGCCTCAGTGTGTTTATTTGAGAGCAACTGTGGGACAGGAAAACTCTACCTACAAATTTCAAGTAAGCTGGTTCCAGCGTACCCTTAGAGTCCCCAGCACACCTCAGGAGACTGAGATCATTTTTAATAAGGTTCCCTGGGTGGAGCAGGACCCTAGGAAAAGTAAAGGAGCAGGCCACTGCTTCCTGGAGCTTTGTGACAGTTTTTTCTATTCCATCCACTTCTCAGACTCACCTCTTTTGCCCTCTCCTTTTCACCCTGGGGAACTGACTGGTGTAGTGGTGGCCTTCCTTTGCCTGGTATCCTGCCTAGGATCAGTCAATGGGGACCATTAGTAGGCGACTGTGAAGAGGGAGAAGACAGAAGTCAAGACAGCTGAGGAGGAGATGTCTCTGCAGGGTCAGGACTTGACTGTTACATTCAAGGTTCAGATGTGTTCTATATCTCCCTTCCTAGCTTCACGTTCCAGTTACTGCTCAGTCTTTGTACCCCTTGGGCCTAGGGGTGACAACTCTTCCTGCCTTGCTGTTTGTTAGTATCTCTGGGGTGCTATGTCAGCCCTTGTGACTTTGCTACACTCACCTACACTTTATGAATAGGCCTTTGTTCAATCTCCTTCACGATACCTAATATGAACACTACTATTTACTTCTTGCCAGGACCCCTGGCCACATCAGGTACACTGTCCAAATAAGTGCATACCCTCAAGTCAAAGACGTGCTGGTAGAGGAACCCCAGAGACCCCAAAGGAGGAAGAGTTAGGTCACAGCCATGAACAACAGTACCAGACAGGAGACATTGATGTCAACCGACCTTCTTCCCAGCCCCTTCTTGTGGGGATGGAGCCTCAGTGGGTGGCATGAGTAAGGGAATGAAGAGTGAGAGAAGCTGACCACAGGCACAGTTGGCCTTAGCTGGGCTTAAGAGAGGGAAGTCTTATTTTGAGAGAATTCAAATTACTAGAACTGCAGTTAAACATACAATGACCCATTTTAATTGGTTGCTTTTGTGATTAACAGTCACTTACCAATTGAATTGTGGGGTCACTCAGTTTCTGGTTGAAGTATAGAAGAAAGACCTCATGTAAACATGAGAGAGATAGAGCTAGAGACAGAGACAGAGACAGAGATAGAGATAGACAGACAGATAGGCAGACCAAGATAGTGATATTCATGTGTATATCCCCCATGCCGTTCGACACGCTGGACATGCTATCTGCAGCTATTAAGCCCACTAGAAATGACCACATGCTTGGAGGCAAAAATGAGAACTGGTACATTCACACTTTGATCTTTAAGTAGAGTGATCCTGACGTACCATAGTGAGGAGATTAAGATGAATTTGAATAGGACTGGGATTCTCACTTTATTATCAAGTCAACCATCACAGTGATTCCACAAAACAGTAATTTCTGTTTAAGTTCTGAACCCTCAGAGTCTAATCCTTCATTGAGCTCTGGGGATTACCACAAGCCATTTCAACAAAGCTCAAAGTATGGTCTGTGCTACCACTATATTTGGAAAACTCTAAATAATTTAATATAGTTGTTTCCATTTTTATTTCTAAATAAACCATTGCAGAGTTGGTGGGAGCCTTTTGGCAGCCAGCACCGTGTGCTCTCCTCTGCATCTCCCCAAGGATGTCAGGATTCTGAAGCATGCCGTCAGCCTTTTCTTCAGGGCTCAGTTTCTCACTGTGTATGTTCAATGTCCCCTCAGCACCACAGAGCAGTGGAAGGCCACACGTGATGGGTGAGGAAAAAAAGAGGATCTAAATTTGGGTGGGTAAGGAAGCAGGGTGGGTCTGGGAGGAGTTGTGGGAGGGGTGAATATAGTCAAAACTCATTGTTTGAATTCTCAAAGATCTAATTAAAATAAAGAGCAGGGCTGAGGAGCTGCCTCAAGTGGGTAAAGCACATGCTCTGTAAGTGTGAGGACCTGAATCCAAATCCCCAGAACCGCATAAAGACAGATGTGGTAGCTTCACATCTTTAAGCCCGGCACTTCTGTGGTGAGCTGGGAAGCTGAGACAGGAGGATCCCTGGAAGCTTATGGATGAGCTAGCCCAGTGAGTGCATGGATGAGCTAGCCCAGTGAGTGCATGGATGAGCTAGCCCACTGAGTGCATGGATGGGCTAGCCTGGTGAGTGCATGGGTGAGCTAGCCTGGTGAGTGCATGGATGGGCTAGCCTGGTGAGTGCGTGGATGGGCTAGCCCGGTGAGTGCAGTAGCAAACAAGGTGGAAGGTGAGACCCAGCCCCTGCGGCTATCCTCTGCCTTCCACATAGGCACTTGGCATGTACTGTAGCACGCATGTGCCCTCTCACACACGCAGACACACAATATACATGCATACAGATACACACATACTAAGACTGGAAAAAAAGAAAAACCAAAATGCAATTTCTTGGCCTCAAAAGAGGTTGCACGGGTTTCCTCTTCATAAAGGCTTGAGGGACTGTTATACCCAGACATGTTTCAAGCACCAACACCTCCCACTCTTCATGAATGAATAGCACTAAAAAACTAGGAATTACACAAAAAGACACAGTTTCTGGAGCTCGACTTTGCTCCACAGTCTGCGCACCTCAGCAGTGCCCTTTCTTATAATTACTGTGCACATTTGACTCTTCACATTGCTAAGGTGGATCTACTGTATGCATTTTTTATTCCAGTTTTCACTGGACCAATGCCCCAGTCCCAGCTTGTTTTGCTGTTGCCAACTGGGGACCTCTGAGTTTTTGGTTTTGTTGGCTGGCTTGCTTGTCTCTCTACAGTGAAAACAGTGCATGATGAACATCTTCCTGGACTCATCTGTGACATCATCTTGTGTGCACATTCCTAGGAAAAGCAAAAGATTGCCTGGGAGCAAGTGGTTTTTGTGTCTTCCTCTTAATGAAATGTTACTAGATCACATGGTTGTTTATAGAGTTTAACCACACAACTCACATCTCCCTGCTTCTCTTTTCCCCCATCTCCTCATCCCCTCACACTTCATCTTTCTCTCTTTTTTGATCTTTCTCTCCTTCCCTCATTTCCTCCTCTGCTCCCTGTGGAGGCCCAAATTACTCAGGGTCAGAGAATCTGAGCTTGCTTTACCCAACGGGGCTGCATGAGGGGATGATTTAACCAGGGGTGTGGTTACCAGGTGTTTGGAAGGGTCTACACTTGGCTGTGTGGTGTGCTTTGATCTAGCAAGGGGGAGGTCTTTTGTCCCACCCCTTGGCATATTATAAAAAGCCCTTTGAAAAAGGCAGAAGGGGCCGTTGGGTTTTGATCCTGGTCCTCCCGAAGCTATCCTGTGTTTCTGTCTTTCTCCTCTTGCTATCTTCCTATCTAAAAGTTTCTTATCCCTCTCTCCTCCTCATAGGAATGCTTTTAAAAGGTGGGAGCTGCCCTCTTACACCTCGCCCTGAATAGAACCTGCTCTGTGGAAAGTTACTGCTGCCCACTGTGCCTTGAAGCACGCTTATATTGCATGCTTTGGTAAGTACCTGGTTTTTCACAACAGCTTCCTCATGGCTCCCTGAATGGACATCAATATTTTCATCAGCTCTTTGGGGAGGTTGAGAAAGTTTGTTCCAACTCCATGGCACATGGGCAGGGGCTTTCTTGGGCCTAGATCCTAGATCTGTCCATCACAAATGGCATTTTTTTTTTTAATGTGCAAGGGAAGGAATAGACATATGGAAGAGCCATCTGTAACTTGTTCTAGGCTAGAAGATGAAGTCAAGAGGCTAGTGTTTTGTCTGCTAGATGCTCAGTTAAGCGTCTAATTAATCCAAATGAACACATATGAGGTCTGTGTTGGGAGAAAAGACAGCACTGACAGGTAGCAGCTCTGTCACGAGCAGCGCAGTGCTCAGAGGACGAGACGGCCCCATTCCCGGCTCGGCAGCATGGCTGTGTCAGGGAGCAGATGTGGTGATGTCACCAGCCTTGGCAGTGGTGCCAGTGGTGCCGATGGCTCAGAGCCATTGTTGGCTCAGTGTGAGGGTGTGCCCACTGCCTGGACATTCGGTTCCTTTTGTCCCCTGCCATCATGTCAGAGCTCATCATGATCTGCTGAGCATCTGCTGTGTTCATGCCTATGACATACACACATCACTTGAAATGCAGGCCAGTTCTGGAGCACATACTCTTCTGTCCCCTAGGGACGAGGAAAGGGATGCTCAGGAGGGCTGATAGACCAAGGTCACAAGACCAGGAGATCACAGAGGTGACGTGCTTCTTGTCCTTCTTCTGATCCTGAGGGGAAATGGTCAGCTTGACTGGGCTAAGGGATGCCCAGATCGTTTGTCAAATATCATTTCCCTGTGAATGTGTGAAGGTATTCCCAAGTGGACTGAAGAGAGAAGAGCTATCCTCATCAATGTGGGCAGGCACCATTGAATCTGTTGAGGATGTACTACAGAGAAGTCTATAGGTCAGGTTAACTTCCTCTCTGTGCTTTGATGGAGGCATCTGACATCTTCCTATGGTCATCAGAGCTTCTGGTTCTCAGATGTGAAAACTCAGACCAGAGCTTACAGTACTGCTGTCTCTGGTCTTCAGTGTTCAGGTTTGTGCTGGCACCACACTGCCCTGCTCCACTGAGCCTTCTGCTTGCAGAGGAACTGCAGATCACATGACTCCTCTGCCTTCCTAACCAGTCCTTCATAATCAGCCCCTTCCTACGCTCAGCCTCTATCCACTTGCTCTGGTTTCCTGGGAGCCCTGGCCAGCACTCGGGATGCAGGATAAGTGCCTTTGCCTTTGAGAGACACTGCAGCTCAAGACCGGCGCCAGGCCAGACACACTCTTCAGTTCTCCACAGTTCTAGGAAGGACATCTGAATGGATGCAGGAGACTCAAGTCACAGCCTTGGACAGTGTGTAGGAAAATGGGCCGAGGCCTCCTCATCTCAGCCTTCATCTTGAGCCTAGAAATTCAACTGTGGACCCCCAGTCACTATACCTCACCCTGTATTCTCACACACAACTATGGACTAGAATCCACACAAGTGATGAAACTTTGGTTATTGGTTATTGGTCTCAGAGAATTCCCTGTCTGTTTTTGGAATCTCTGAAGTGCCATCTTATCCAAGGATGTTGTTTCCTTCCCATTCTTTGACATTCCAAGGAGTCAACATCCCTGCCACTTGTTTCCGAGAGGGTGGATGATCTATAATTGATCCACGGCCTCACACATGTCCTAAGGACAGCTGCACTCACCGAGGTTACACTCTGGTGCTTGAGGGCCAGAAAGGACAAGAAAGCCATGAGCCATTATTGGTGAATGCAGCCAAGTCATTTTACAGATGAAAATGGAGTCCAGGCCCAGAGCCCCTTAGCAGCCTGACACATTTGTAAGGCAAATCTGCGCTGAGCAGAAAGGACTCAGGGAAGGGTGGTATGGTGGTGTGTCTAACTTGAGAGCGTTTTCAACAAAGCCACAGGCAGATGTTGTGTGAGAGCTGTGGAGCTTCCTGCAGACACAAACTTAACAGCAAAGAGTCAAGTTCTGTCTGAACTGGGCTTGGGGACCATCCTGGGCCCCTGCTGGTTACCTGCTGGCTCTGCCCACCGTTACTAGTGGCCCTGAGGGGTACACTTCCTCCCTTGGTCCCTCAGGGCCCACTGCACACGTTGCCGGTAAGTTCTTCATCTCTGCCTCAAGCAGGCTCCATGTCTGTGGTCTCACACCCTCAGTCACACTCAATGAGGCCTGGGGAGTGTGTGTGCATACCCAGATGATCTTAATCAAATGGGACAAGCCGAAACACCGGCCACTCTGAAGAACAGGGAGCCACAAGAGGTCACTGCAGGAGTTTCTTGAGGGAGCAAAGCTCTTGAAGGAAGAGCTGGAGAAAGCCAGGGGGACAGCCCATGGAGGCTTTTTAACTTTCCTAAGGCCCTGTGTGGGGCTTGGGGAGTCACCTTCAAGCGCACACACCAGGCTAGTGATGATCCAAGGCCCCTCTTGTTGCTGAGGCTGGCAAGACAGGAGTGAGGCAGAGGAAGGAGGACCCAGAAGAGATAAGGAATCCCCCTATGTCTTTAGAACCTGCCAGTGGTGTCTTTGGATCTTCTTGTCGCTGTGAATATCAGAGGAACAGTGAATGAAGCATGGCCACAGCGCTGGCAGGGAGCTGCTGCCACAGGGGTCGGGTTGAAGGTGAGTGTGTGGACTGGTGTGCCCCCCTCCTCTTCTCCTGTTCCAGTCTGGGAGTCTCTCAGGGCAACGATGGAACAAAGCAACTGAGTAGTCACCTATGCCAAGGGCCAGGCAGTTCTGGTGGAGTCTGGTCATCATGGGCTCCCTGGTCTGTGTCAGATCCTACAGTGACGTCCCTAACAGGATCATTCAGGTGGGTCCAGACAACCAGAACATTCCCCAGGGCCTGAGCAAAGCTGGTGGAGAAAGCTGGCTCTGATATGGAGCCAAGAGGGGGTTGGGACAGGCAGGGGCCTTCCAGCCAAGCATGGGCCTGCTCTCCACACATGGCTTTCTTACCAAGACTTCCTTGCTGGTATGTGCTCCATGGCTCAATTGTCCTGGCTTGGGAAGGAGCAGGCCCAACTCAGGACATAGTTGTTACCAGTCATTCTCTCTACCATCTGCACCACACACACGCGCGCACGCGCACACACACACACACCCCACAAACCTTCTGCCTTAGTCTATTTCATATTCTCTTCTGTGGTTCCAGATCCTGGCAGCTCTTTAGCACTCAGCCCTGTCCTAAGGTCTCAGTGACAAGCGCCAGTGGCCATTCCTTGTGCCAGCCCTCAAAAGCTGTGGTGGCTATCCTTACCTGACACACTTCTCACCATGTTTAGGAGTGTCTTGCATTTTTTAAGTTCTAACCACAGTTCTTGTTAAGAGTCTTGATCATGAGTGGAATGTGTCTCAGACCTTCATAGAATGCTGCTCAAGAGGAGGGGTGAGGCCTCGGCCGGCGAATTCCCTGTGGAAGACTCTCTCCCTTTTATCCCTGCCTCCCTACGGCTATCAGAAAGCAGGGTACCTGGATCCTATTATCCTGGCTGCTCACATAAACACTTTCTGTGAGTTATGCTTTAATGTCAGACCTCTCGCTTTTATGGAGGTCGATACAAGAATCATCTGGTTGGACAACATTGGGATTCTTCTGTAAAACTGCAGTTGAAGACATCATTCCCGGAGTCATAGGTGTCCTTTACATGACATCATTCGTGATGTTACCCGGCGTCCTTTACATATGATCCACACGATAAATTCTGCCTTGTGTTTAGTTCCAGGAAAAAATTCTATTTCTGCAGATAAATTAGTTAGTATGCTCCCTGCTGTCAGAAAATGAAAACTCAGGAATTCTGGGTGCTTCTTTTTGCTCTGCGGCTAGGCAAGGGAGAGCCAAATTTATTGCCTGTGTGTGTAATTTGCTCAGCTGTGGGGTCCAAAAGCACTTACTCCTTCCACTTGTTTTAAATGGACTTATTTTATTTTATGTTCAAATGTCTCATTGTACTTTTGCGAGATGTGTGGGTCTGGAAGCCGTCTGGGGAAGCATTCATTGGCCCATTGATCTGGCCTGTTCATGCCGGCTGCTGGGGATACAAAACTAAATTCCTCCGCACCCAGCTTTCAAGGAATTCATGTTTTAATGTGGAGAATAGCTTGGAAATTATTAGTCATTATAAAATGAGGCTGGTGAGCTCAGAAACACATAAGACTAAAGAAAACAAGACCCAGGAAGAAGAGGCTGGGGTAGGGGTGGGGGAAGAGGCCAGGGGAGTCTTCCTGGAGGGGTCAAGGCTGAGCTAGCTCTGTGCATGCAAGAGGAAGGACAGCGGACGGAAGCGTAGGCAGCTGTGACTCTGACAGTTCAAAGTTGGCCTCTTCTCAGTACTCATCCTCTTTTTCTAGCTAGGCTAGAGATTCTGGGTGGAGGGCAGGCCTTAGCTCTGTGCCCCTGTCTGGATACCAGGATGCCAGGCAAAGTGTGCAGGGCAGGGCAGTGTGGCAGCTGGCAGAGCCTGAACCAACCAGGCTATCTGGTTATGCATCTATAACCACTAACCACTTTGGGTCTTAGCTGTAATGTGGGGACCAGCAGAGAGGGCCAGCCCTGAGCGGCCTGGGCTGGGGTCACAGAGGACACAGCATGCTTGCCTGAACATGGGCACTGTTTTCCAGGTCCAGGGTCAAAACCAATCCTGTACTGGCTGTTTTTCCCACCTCATTGCTTCTGAAGGCTAGAGAAGAAGTATTGACCTCCTGGGGATTTTGTGGGCATTAAAGAAGAAAACACACAGAGAGACATGTTGTGAAACTCCTCAGAGACACAGGCTGGTTGTCTCATCTGGCCCACCAGTCATTGTACCATTCCAGGGAGCAAAGAGAATACTGTTGTACCCTCCCTTTCAACTCTCCAAGTAATGCCTGTGTTAAAATAACATCATGGCGCTCGTTCCCAAGCCAGCATGCAGGACCCAGTTCTCCTCTAAGCCATGTCTGTTGTCCATGTTCTTACAAGTGGCCATTGACAGGTCTCTTCAAGGCCACCCCTGGATCTCTCAGGCTTCCACATCCAGGGGGCTCACAGGGCTCAATGCTGGTCGTGCCTCATGCCAAAATCTTCATGAGTTTCCTTGTCCACTGATTTTCAAAAGGACCAAGGCTGTGAGGAAGGTTGAGTTCCCGGATGTACTTTGGGCAGGTGTAAAAAGAGAGCCATAAGCTGTATTTGCAGGCAGGGGAGGGAGAAGACTGCTGGCTTCATGGGGTGCTTGTCTGTATGTCAGTGCAGTGCCTATAAAAGCAGCCGGGCGGGGGGAAAGCCCTTGTTGAGAAGATTTGTCCAGTCCTTTGATGTGAATTCTCCCACCATAGCTGACTCTAAGCTATTGTGTGGTGTCAATAAACTGGGACTTGAGGAAACGCAGAGTAATGTGCACTGTGCAGACCCCCCACCTCATAGAGGTATGGTGCCTGTAGATGACTTCAAAAGCACAGATAATAATTAGCAACAAATGAAATTTAAGAGTTTGTTGTTTTTTTAAATATAACGCAACTATAAACTTACATAATTTGATTATTAGCCCCAGCTGTGTTGAATAACAGTACCCCATATTCCCGACACATCGCCAGCCAATACTTGTGACATGGAACGAGACAGCTCCATCACACCCCTGGATTTTCCTCATCAAGGCAATGATCTCTTCCAAATGGCGCCTCTCACATCACCACTAAGTCTATGTTCCTTGGGATATGGTGTTGTCTTCATATGAATTTCCTTGGACACTGATCTGTTTTGCATATAGAGATGCTGAAGTTTTGGGCCAACCTTTTCTGCTTAGATCTGATTGGTTTCCAGGGTACTCCCAACCAGTAACCAGTAACCAGTAACCAGTAACCCACCCTCCATAGAAACCTAGGGACACACAGAAAGACTAAGGACCTAAAACGAAGGGCGAGGCAAAGGCGGAGGAACGCAAACCAGACAGAGAGGCTGGCTGGCTGGTCGCTGCCTAATTCTTGCACTAGAAGCCCCCAAAGACGGGACAGGACAGCAGACTACACCAGCATACAGAGGGCTACTCTTGAAGCCCCGGTCCTAGCCTTTGACACAAGTGCCAGCTGCACCTGAGGACGGAGGACAAAGCCTCCTTCACAGACAAGAACCCCTTCTGTACCGGGGTCACTCGGGGCCACAGATATCAGACAGCCTCTGAAGGCTCCTGGACAGCAACCTGGAGTCAAGTCCCTAAAGCGGGCAGCTGGGATATGTTAACACCTCGTCTCTAATTGGGATAATATGCTTTTAAAACAAATGGGGCTTTCTGGAGCTCTTAATTAGACTTCTGCCCAAGGGCCTTCCGTTTGAAGTTTGCTGATGGTTGCCTGGGACAGCTGGTCCTGCTGACCCTGACACCTGCGCTGTGTAGACGGCCTCAGGGAGGCAGGCAGCGGAATGAAGGCACATGATTTCTCAGAACAGGCAGAAAGGCCCTGAGGGCGCCTGTCCCAGTGAGGAGGACCAGACCTGGGGGGTTCTGGGCTGGGGAGCAGACAGGACAGAGCAGCCCTTTCCTGCAGTGGCCACGCTTTGCCTGCCATGGGCATGCTTTCCCAGTCCAAAGTGAAAATCACCTCTGGATTGAGCGGCATTTCCACTTTGGCACTACCTCTAATGAGTCGGCAATATGAAAGCTGGAGAATGACCCTGTGTGAGGGACAGGTGGGGTGACTCCACTCCAGTGACATGCCCAGGGGGGGCACAGGGCAGGGTGCACGACCCAGGTCAACTTGCATATCTTTCTGACAGAGGTTGTCCTTCCTTCCCTTGGTTCTCTGAGGCAAATGGCATGGGAAGAATGTCAATTCTAAGTGTGCTGAGTCCCTGGCAGTGGAGTGCAGGGGTGTGACCCTGCCAAGGCTGTCCTGCCATTTTGACTCATCGGTTGTCATTTCATGATGATTATTATTACTGACTTGGGTCATGATCATGACATTAGCTTTCTGTGTCCTTCCCTTCCACTAGCTCTGGGTACTGGGTTTCTTTAATTGTGAGTCATTACAGGACCCAGGCGATCACAAGGGCGGGGCTCCTCTTGTTTGGAGTATTAGTGGTTGGGTCCTGGCCAGCTGGAAAGAAAGTGAGGTGATTTTTCCAGAGATCTGTTCCATCAGCCTTCTGGAGAATGACACTATCCTCCAGGTGATCTTCTTGAGTTCCATATCAAAAGGGACACTTCCCATATCCATCTGCCACTGAAGGTGCAGGAGGCCCCTTGGATATGACCATGTGGGTTCACTATTGACACTATCAATGCACTGAAGTGAGTCAACCATTGTCATAGTCTAGGAATCATAGGGATGCTCAGAGAGACCTGGGGTCATCCTCTCCTTCCAGCAAGCACCAGCCCTGTGACCACAGGCAGGCCACTGAATCTCCCCATCTGGAGGACACCCTGGCCTCCTGTGAATGTGATGACGACGAGAAGGCCTGGTGCCCACAGACCACAGACACTGATGGGTTGCTGTTTTTGCCGCAAGTTGCTATGGTTGGGATTGCTCAGTCCTGCCTCTAAAAGGCTCAGAATAGCATTCTGGGGAGCAGGGTTCAGGTTCGGATGGGACAGGAAAGCTCGGGGGGATAAGGAAGCAGTTGGAAGGGCAGTTGTCAACAGCCAAATGCAAGCACACAGGTTTGGGAGTTGGTTTTTCCCAGAGGAGGCATGCAGACTCCACCCCTTGCCTTCCTTAACTTCCAGGGTGTTGAAGGCTTGTCATTTAGCTGAATTAGCTTGGACCACTCCCCTTTCACCCCAAGGGCTCTCCAGCAATACATACCCCTCTTCATTCTGAGGGCTCTGAAGCATACACCCCCCTTTATTCCAAGGGTTCTGCAGGGAACACCCTATTCATTCCGAGGGTTCTGCAGCATACTCACCAAGAGCTACTTGCTGTAGGTGCCGCTGGGTGATGGCATCCTTTAGCTGACCTGTGAAAGACAAAGGAAAACCACCAGTGAGTTTCCAACAAGCTGCAAGAAGACATCACTTCAGGAACACCTAACAAACTGAGTCAGAAAAACAATCCAGAGCTGGGAAGACACTGGCAGGCAGACCTTGAGGTGAGAGCCCCTCCAAATCCCGGGAGGTGCTGGAGAGGAGAATGCAGAGGTAGATGTTGGCGCATATACATGGATTTCACCTTGGGGTCACCCATCTTATGGTTTAATTATCTAAACCTGTCATTCATAATCTTTGCTAGGGCCTGGTCTCTTAAGTAATTCTATTATTAATGAAGGAGGAGAGAGGATGTGGTCTTTTAATAACTTATAAGACCCTCTCTTCAGTCCACTTCTTTTATTTTACAGCTGTGGGAAAAGTTGATCACTGTGTATAAAGCACATATAATTCTGGGTCGTGTTGTGAAGTTACAGTGTGTGGATGGAGTTCTGTGGAGCTGGGGTCTCAGTGTGCCTGAAGTTACAGTGTGTGGATGGAGTTCTGTGGAGCTGGGGTCTCAGTGTGCCTGAAGTTGCAGTGTGTGGATGGAGTTCTGTGGAGCTGGGGTCTCAGTGTGCCTGAAGTTATAGCATGTGGATGGAGTTCCGTGGAGTTGGGGTCTCAGTGTGCCTGAAGTTATAGCATGTGGATGGAGTTCCGTGGAGTTGGGGTCTCAGTGTGCCTGAAGTTATAGCGTGTGGATGGAATTCTGTGGAGCTGGGGTCTCAGTGTGCCAGTGTTTGGGTGCTTCCTTCATAGGAAACGTTCGCAAAACAGAAGATGTTCAGAAGAGGGGTAAGAAGACAGCTCAGTCGGTGAGGGGCCCGCTGAACAAACACCACACTCAGAGCCCACAGGAAGAGCTGGCACAGGACCCTGTGCCTGTAACCCCAGCACTGGGAGGCAGAGAGAGGAGGTCCTGGAGATTTCCAACTCAGCGAGCTCCAGATTCAGTGAGAGACCTTGTTCAAAAAAGAAAAAAAAATAGGGGGGAGAGTGACTGAAAAAGACACCCAACACCAACCTCTGCCCCCCCACACTTGTACACACACACACACACACACACACACACACACACACACACACACACAGAAAATATTCAGAAGATGGTGACTGGGAGGTGGTAGGTCAGAGGTCATGCTCTGTGAAGAATTTTTGAGCTGACCTGAGATATTTTGATGGAGAAGAAAAGATGAGGAGGAACTGGCATGATGAATTCCTGGATAATTGAGTGGTGATGTATGGATGTTTTATTCTGTCCAGTTGGGAGTGGGTGTATATGCTTTCAAATTACAGGAAGTCCAACTGGGGATCTGGTATGAGGAAGAAACCGTTCACAAGGTGCACTGTCTGCAAACGGATTAAATGTTCTCAGGTGGCCTCAGTCTCCCAGGATGGCAGCAAGGACCCCTCAAAGGTGCCAGGCAAGAGCAGCTTGGGGGTGCTTAGAGAGAGAATGTCTATCCTTGAAGGATTTGGGACTCAGTGACTCTGGGCTTCCTCTGTCTCCAAAATTCCAAGGTTGGGGATTTGAGACATGGACAGTTCTGGGGTTGGTGTGTGTCCCGAGGCTCAACCCACTTAATAAGTCTTAGTGCTGTCTATTGTACGTCCCAAGTGGGAACTGTGATCTGGACACAGGGGAGCCTGGGAGCCTTGCTGTCCCTTGTCTCATGTGTTTCGTTTTGCACATAAGGAACATACAATTCCAAAATGAGGATGGGCAGATAATGAGGTGTCCACAGGAGACCTGTCCCTTCAGGAGATAGCTAGGTGACAAAGGGATTGAGAAGGATGACAGAACTCAGTCAGCTTAATTCCGATGTGAGAATCCTTCCTCAAGCACTTTCATAGTGAAGCTGTGTAGAATAAAGTATGCCCATGGAGTCCACACCTCCTTCCCTTCCCTTCAGTCATGGGGATCGGCATAGAAAAGGATCATTTCTGGTAGGCAGAGGAAAACATTCACATCAGAGGGTGTCACACCTGCCCCGATGTGGCTGCCCCTCCAGGTCAGGGGGTGCCACATCTGCCCCGATGTGGCTGCCCCTCCAGGTCAGGGGGTGCCACACCTGCCCCAATGTGGCTGCCCCTCCAGGGTAAGCGTCTTAGGTGATGACACTAAGGGTGGGGCACTGCTTATAGGTACATGATCAACCTTCCTAATGCAGTTCCCTCTAATACAGTTCCTCATGTCGTAGTGACCCTCCAACCATAAATTGTGTTCATTGCTACTTCATAACTGTAATTTTGCTATTGTTATGAATCGTAAATGTCTGATATACAACCCCTTTGAAAGAAGTCACGATCCACAGGGTGAGAAACACTGACCTGGGGTGGGCCTTGGGGCACCTGCATGCTGGCCACTACCTTCTAGATTTCCTCCCTGGAGAAGGTTATATACAGAGAGGGAGCCAAGAATGGGCCTGAGCAATAACTGCTCCCCAGTTCTAAGCAGGGAAGGTTGGAACATTGGGAGTGTGTTGAGGGGGAGTTGGGAGGAAACCTGGCTTATGAATTGCTGCATTTTTCATGTACATACAAAGTTTGATTCTCATAAAGAAGCATAATGGTTTAATTACAGAAAGTAAAGATTTCAAAAATGTTTTCCCACTTTATTCCTCAACATGTGAGTATCAAAATACCATTTCTTTGAATTGTATTGTATTAGGATGTTTGATTTTAAAAAGTAGATGATGGGGTTGTTGACCTAAGTTTCATTTAAAAACTGTTAAATGACTTTTAGATTGGCATTAGGACAGAACTTCTAGCAATTTCTGGAATGGCCCTAAACATACTTCTACTGCTTTGTACTATGTGCTTACAGGAAGCCACATTCTTGACACCGATAATTATAAATCAGAATGTTGGTCACTACGGAAAATGCTAAAGATGCTCTTTATCCTGCAGTTTACGATGCCCAGGTAAGACTTACTTCCCTAGCACATCTGTCCCATTAGCATGTAAATTTGCTTTTGTTTTTAATAAATGGTCAAATCATTTGTATTGTTCTCAAATACATTTGTGTGTATGTGTGTGCTTGTATGTGTGTGTGTGTGTGTGTGTGTGTGTGTGTGTGTGTGTGTGTGTGTGTGTAGGGGCAGAACACATACACACGTGAGGGGCATGTGGAAGCCAGAGGTAAACTTTCAATGTCTCCTTCAACCGTTCTGACATATCTTAGAAGACAGGGTCTCTCAGGAACCTGAAGTTCACTGCTTTGGCTAGGCTGGCTGGCCAGGGAGCCCCAGGGGTCTGACTGTCTCTACCTTAGAGTCTTGGGATTTCAAGAACACCAATTGGTTATCCATACTAAATGGTCAGCCCTGAAAACATCCATACAATTCACATTATATGGATTGAGCAGTTTGTATTTGTGTATTTAAGAATATAAATATAACTAAAGAAAAAAGGGGCATGAATTTAAAAGATGGGGAACACTTGGAGGATTTGGAGGGAATACCAGGAAGCGGGGGAATGAGGCAATTATATTATAATTTTAAAGAATAAAAAATTAAGATGGAAATTTTTAAAAAAGAGAAGTCCTATATCCCTCCTAGGAAAAGTCCCTCCCACTGTTTTGAAGAAAGGTTCTCTCCTTGTGTGCCTGACAATGTGTCCCTCCTTGATAAAGCTCCCCCAGCTCTGTACCCTTCCACAGTAGCAGTGTCTGGCCTAGTCTACCTCCAGCTGCCCTGCTTCCCAGTCTATGATGGGCTCCCCAACCCTGGGGTGGGGTGGGGCAGGGGATTTCCCACAGGCCCTGGCTTGTTCATGTAAATAAAAAGGGAAAATTTGATCAGAACTGAGAATTCTCTAAACTCCACAAACATGCAAATGTACTCAGAATAAGGCACCCCAAGGGACAAAAATGCAGCCTTTATAATATCACATATTGATAAAGGCAGTTGTAAAATGTAATCCCCAATGCTCAGTTTTGGTGAATGGACTGCCATCCCCCACCATATGGCATTTGCAGTGGGAGGGCCATATCCCTAAACAAGCTTCCAAAAATAGCCTTATGGCTGACACCTAATTACAATTGCCAGCAGAGGCATTCCTCAAGCAAAGATAACAGTCTCTCTAATCTACAGGATCTCGCAGCTCCATGGGTTTTGGCAAAGGAGGAGCTGAGGGAGATTGCGGAATTCACTCAGCATGAGGTGTGCTGTCATTACCGAGGTGATAAATTTGCAGGTTTTGGCCAGGGTTCCTGGACATATTCCCCCATGTAGAGGTAGGGATGAGATGAGACAGAAACAGAGAAGTCCCTGCCCAGGCAGGAGACTGCCTGAGAAGGGAGCAGGGAGCCCAGATTGGGGCAAGACTCAAGGAGCAGGCAAAGGAAGGAAGGAGAGCCTCTCCAAGGGACAACTTGGCAATTAGCATTTTCCTCTGCTGACTTACAATGCAGTGTGCCTTTCTCCCTTTCTGACCTGGACATTAATGGGGTGAGTGGCAGTGGGGACAGACAAGGTACTCTAAGCCAGTACCCACTCACAGAAATGCTCTGAAGATATGCAGATTTGAGAATACCCATTGTCTGTCTAGAGCACATGGAGGGCGTGGATTGTAGGGATGTGGATTCTCTGGACCTGAGCAGTTCCTGGGAAAAACGTTAGCATCATGGGAAGGCAAAACTGATTCTGGATCCTGATACTTGCAGTGTTTAGGAGGCAAGAGTTTTCCTTACCTCATACTTGGTTTTGCATGTAAGCTAGTTTGAGATCACTCACTGAATGGAAGCTGGTCCTGAGGACAGAAATTCATGTGGGATTCCAGCAGCATGGCTTTGCAAACTGCTCTTGGGGAGGACTCCCCTCCCCCCTCCTCCCTCCTTTCCTCCCTCCTTCCTTCTTTTTAGAGGACAGTTTCTCACTATGTAGCCTTGGCTGTTCTGTTATTCTCTATGTAGACCAGGATGGCTTTGAAATCACTGAGATCTGCTGCCTGTCTCATGAGTATTAAGACAAAAGGTGTGTGCCACCAA